TTCTTGCGAGGCTGTTTTCCGTGGAAATCGATTCAGGTTCTTGTGTAACTTGGTGACAACAGTTTCGGGCTGCACCGTGTTCCGAGCAACAAGAAATGCATAAGCAAATGTTGAACCATGTAGTTTATGGCCCATGCCAAATCTCTGTAGGAAAATTGGGGAAGCCCGATCGAGTAGAATCCCGCGAATTATAGACTCGTTTCTGTTTTAACTCTTAACACCATGTGAATATGCTACCTAGTGTTACCTTTGCGCCAATTTTTCGCCAATCTCATCTCCAGATTGACAGAGTTTATGTGGAAGGTTTACACTAGGAAATTAATGAAGAATTAGGAATGAGATGTAAAACAAAGATTAAGACGGAGTTAATAAACCATATATAATCTTGTGATTAATTAGACAGATACAGTAATGAAGGATTTATACTTGATTAAGCAGTATGTAATTAACCTGCATTTGCATTTGCAAGCAAGCCATCATGTAGCCAATTTCTCATCAAAGTGAAAGCTTTCTCTGCATCTTCATCTTCTTCAAACGACTGAGGTCGGTGCGCAAAGCCATGACCTCTTCCCTTGAAACTCACCACCCTCGATCCCCTGCCGATGGTTTTCTCAATACTTTCTACCACGCTCACACGACACAGCGGGTCGTTGTCCCCCGTAATAAACAATACAGGAACCTTCACATTCGAAGCTGCAGATGTGTCGTCCATCCTTGTTCCGTAGAAGGAGACCCCAATCCCGAAATAAGCGCCCTGGTCCTGCGCCAGCACCTCAATCACTTTGCCACCTCCGTAGCAGAACCCTATCAAGCCAAGCTTGTTTGAGATCCCTGCAGCCGCAAACTCATCAACCATCCATTTTGCACACGCGGCGATGTCTTTCGCAACCCTTTGAGCTTCTTGGTTAGCAATCCACTTCTCAAAATCAATCTTCGGGCGGTCCCTTGTCCATGGATCTCCGCGAAACAGGTCCGGAAGTAAAACGCTGCATATTGTTGTATATATAAACAAAGAAATTTGAGACACTACTGCATTATGCAGAGATATAGTGATGGCAGTTGAAAGTTAAGAAAATATGTTACTTGTAACCGCTGCAGGCAATGCGATATGCAAACTCTCTGGTGGATGAATCTTCGAAGCCAAAGATGTCAGACAAGAGAAGTATCCCAATTCCGTTGTTGTTTTTTACTGCCTTGAAGAGATAAGCGTTGATGGTACCGTCAACACCCTCGCCGTCAACTGAAACTTCAAATCCACTGACCAGCTCACATGTTTCGTCGTCATTTACGCTGTCTTCCGCTTTTAGTAGGCTACAAGCAACTCTTGTGCCTGTACTCGCTGCAGCTGACCTCCGACGACTTGCGCTGCGTTGCGTCTGAACATAAACTGAGGTTTACACTTTACAGTCAAGGTAGAACAACACGCACAGCAGCACAGAAAATCAAATGGCTAACTGCAGCAGGCTGCCATTGTGCTGTCCTGGCAATCATATGATGAAGATGCATGTAGAGAATCAAAAGTGAAGAGTTTTATTTTTATTAATGACACCTTAACCCTCTTGTAGATTTAATTTAGTTCCCATCTTTGGACGAGGGACTTTCCAAGTCCCAACAACTTTAGTCTGCTATGCTCTCTTAAAACCACAATTCTAAAAATCCCCTCCTAGCGCCATCTATGCCTTGCCTAGGCGCTAGGCAGATGACCATCGTCCCGATTAATGTCTAAGTGTTTGAAAATTAAGAAAAAGCGCCTAGACCTGATGAGGCATTCGCCTAAACCGCCTAGGCACCTGCCTAATCCGCCCAAACCCACCTAGGCACCCACTTAGGTTGCTACTCACTTAGACAGAAAATAGATAACTTTCATTATGTATTTTATTTTTTTCAATAAATGGTAAGAGACTTACTTAATAGTAAAATGAACACACATTATATGCTTGTTCCTCATATTTTCATTATGTTCCAATCATTCATAATATATATATATATATATCATTCTATTTTGTAGTTTATGATGAAATTATATATATTTTAAGTATAAACAAATAATTATTTACACGAAATATAATGGATTTACTTAAATCCGGCTAGTCCGCCTAGGCGCCCGCCTAGCCACCTAGGCGCTAGATCTCAACCCTTCATCTGATTAGCACCTAACGTCTTTTAGAACCTTACTTAAAACTTAAGGGCTCATTTGGAAGTATTATAGGATAAATATTTTTATGAAAAATGATTTTGGGTTACAAAAACACTTGAAATGCTTTATAGATGAAGCACATAACTGCGCTTCTAGCATAAATCACTTTAAGTGATTTTCTAAGATTCACTTTATTTTTATTTAATTATTTTAAAATCATTTCCAAATGAGTCCTAAATTGCACTAAAAAACTCTAACCGTGAGCTACTTAAATACCACTAAAACACTCTCCAAATGCACCAAACTTTTGGAATTAAACCTTGAAAGGTGTCTTCAAAAGTATAGCAACTAGTAATTTTCGAAGTCCTCCCATCTAATTTTTATGATAGCATTCCAAACTAATTCAAAGTACCTCCATCTTCATCTAATTAGAAGAAGAAACAAGTGTAAAGTAAAAGGAGGAAAGAAAATAAGAACGTACTGAGGAGGAGGAGGAGGAGGAGGAGGAGAAGGCGGCGGCGCGCAGAGGAGAAGCAGAAAATGTTGAGAGGAAATCGAATCGATGATTTAGGCTGCTGCTTCTTGTTTTTGTTTTGCTTCTGAGAAACATTGAAGCCGCCGACGACGGCTGTGGCGTTGGCAGCCTCCCACTTCCAGTTGAGTATAACAGCCAATTCATATCTTTCATCTTTCTTCCTTCCTCAACACTTCCAGTTGTTGTTTGGCTCCACGACACTTCTTCCTCTTGTGTTTGATCTTTGTTTCTTCAAACCAACGTACGCCGCAAAATTAATTTCCCTGCTTCTAGTGGGGGACCTACCTTAAGCTGTTAGGTAGGATTTCATACTCCGGCCCTTCGACCACTTACTAATGGAGGCAGATTGTCTCCCTAAATTTCATTCTCTCTCATTTGTGTGGTCACGATTGAATCGCGTCAACATTTTATAAGTTGTAACATTGATATTAACGTGACTTAACTGTGACCGCACAAAATAAGAGAGGATGGGAGGACACCCGGATGGCAGACAATCTGCCTCCCTTATTAATAAGTAGTAACATTGATATTGTCGAGATTTTGGGTCATCAACAAATCATTTCAAAAGGCATTTCAGCCACGGTTATCCGTCCCTTTTAAGGATCGGGAAGACTTATGGAAGCATTTCAGCCTTCCTCTGGGTATAAGTCTGATTTCCACACCAACAACGAGTTTCGAACCCGATACCTCAAATTTTTAAATTGAAGGAAGCCTCGCAATCCGCAGTTTATCACTGGACCACCAGCTCGTGGTTAATATAAGTTATATTTGATTTTGTCAAATTTCTTTGCTTTACATGAGACCACCATATAATGGGGAGTAATATTAGATAGACTAAATTTGCAAACTAAATGATGTGTCACCAATAAAAAATAAACATGTTAATCAACATTTAAGTAATAATCCAATCATCAACTTTTATGTCATTTAATTTATAAAATTTTGTTTACACATTTAATCTTCATATCATTACTTGTAATGGGTTATACGTGAAACTAATTCCATATTGGTCATTTAAGCACGGAAGCAAAACAAGGAAGTAAACTAGTAATTACGGAAAGACAACTTCAAGACTCAATTTGTTTTACTCAAACAAATCACTAAATGGTCTCCAAATCGAATAGATTTTTCAAGAGATGATTTTTAGATTAGTATTAAATGGATGAACCATTCTGATTGTGATATTTTTTATAATAAAATAATGTCACATCATCATTTAAAAATGAATGACTCATTACGTATAAAGAGCCAAACAATCTCATTTATTTTGGACAAATTATACAAATGAATTAAGACTAGTTAATAGGAAATCAAAGTGCTGGAAACGAAACAACTTGAAACGAACTACAGCAGAAAAATAAGAACGACTTAGGTTGAACTAAAACCTAAGGAAAAAAATGCTTGAATAACGATGGTATAAAATGATGTGTTTGGATATCTGCGTGAGTCCAAACACCATTTTATACACTCTTTAGCGGCTCCAATTTGGAATGATCTTCAATCACCTTGATTTAAGGCTCGTCTAGGAAATCTTCAATCCCCAGTTGGTTTAACAGATTATACACACCATAAGTAGCTAGTAACAATATTCCAATTAAATTTTGCAAAAACTTAGATCAGGTTGAAGATTTGGGCCATCTCCGCTCAACAAATTTGGGTTTAGGGATTAGCAGGCCGAGTAAGGCTCAAAGAGGATTCCGCGTGTGGGATCAGTTCAGAAGGGTTGATAAAGCAAGATCTAGGAAGATCTTCAAAAGATAATGTTTACTATAATCATAGCCCCATGCATAGGTCATGATCACTTGTGCTGTTAAGGGTCGTTCTTAAATGGTGCTCCTCATTATATCTCTCGTTATCAGTCGTTGTTGACTAAATAAATGGATAATATAGGGTTTCAACCAACCGTTTAAAGAGCGTCATGCATGTCTTAATAAATCATCCTCAAGCTCATGTTAGACTATGTAAAGTCATGTTCATTTTCATGATAAGACAATTGTTCCTTAGCCAAAAAAACTCATAGTTTGTGATTCATTTCCTACGTTTAAATCTAACTTAGACATAAGAAAGTCTTTAACATACACCACATTAGTATGGCAAAGTCTCACTTGTTTTTTTTTTTTAATAATTATATAGATTTTTAAAATAATTTTACGCTCGTGTGAAGTTCGTTCACCCCATTTCGAAATATTCTCTGATTCCGAAAATTTCAAATATAAAAAATGTTCACTGTAAAACTTTTGATCCGATTAAAAAATCAGAAAACCTTATTTCCGAACCAATCCGTGTGTAATAATGTGACGATTACAGTTACTCCGGGTCCTGGGTAGCGACACGTGGCGATCCATTTGTGTGGCACGTCATGGTTAAGGGGGGTTTCAGAATTTCTTCCAAGGAATGAAGTAACGGCGGGGTAAGCGAAGGGGAGATCGGAATGGACGGCCCTCCAGGCGGCGATCTGTGTTCGGTGTGCCATGGCAACTTCGACACTCCTTGTCAGGCCAATTGCTCTCACTGGTTTTGCGGTACCTTTCTTCCTCCCTCTCTCTCGTTCCTATTTCTTCGCTTACACAATTGCATTTCGGTCGGTCAACCAATTTTGGTATTGGTTTGGTGCAATCGATAGAACCCTAAACCCAATTTGTCTTCAATTTCTCCATTCAAACTGTCTGTGTTTGTGATTTGTCTCAAGCATGCTTTTGTTCGTGTTTTGATACGATTGATTGATGGTGTGTTGAAAGACTTGATTGATTACTCGGAAGATTTTAGTAGCGGCGGGCTTTCGATGTCATTTGCTCTTTAGAGCGAAGGGACTTGTAATCCAAATCCAAACTGGGTGTTTATTTCGAGCAATCTATGACGTTTTCGCTGAAACAAGTCTTTAGCTTAGCTATGCTAACGTAAAAGTTTGGTGAAAACAAAGAAGAGGGCCGAAGATGGAGTTCTTCGAGAAACCGCAGTAGACATTCGATAATAGTCATTTTCATTTGATACCGTTAGTCTCTTGTTCTTATTGATATGTAGACAAGTCAAGACAGAATGTCATTGTCTACATGTAATTGTACTCTGCAGAGTTCTGTGATAGGAAGAACACGTTTGTGGAGGTTTCCAAGACTTGCATCATAAAAATGTGGCAAAGGAAATAAAAAATCCCGGCGCCACTGCCAGTGTCCGTTTCATTCCAAGTAGAATGGACTTGATATTCTTGATTAGGGCAATTCCGAGTCTAGTTATAAATCCGCGGGTACCCATAGTGCCTATTATCTATAATCTGATATAGCCAGTTTTTCCAAGCGCAATTCCAGGTCTGGTTATAAATCGTGGATGCCCATGGTGCCTATGTATATTTATATATATAAATTATCATGTTTTGAACTTGATGATACAGTGCCTTAACTCATTCATGCATTCATATAGAGGTCTAATGCTGTTTTGAGCTGGGTCGAGTTATAGAACATCACCCGCGCTGAGGATTTAACCTTATGTTTGGATGAGAGACATTCAAAGTGTCAAGGGAATTTAGACTCAATTGTTAAAATGCATCACAAGAACGCTATCAATGAACTACTCAAGCACTTTAAAGCTACTACTAAAACACCTGCAAATGACACCTTTCAAGGAGTAATTTGAAAGTTCTCTCAAGTGTACTTTCAAATGTATTGCATCTAGTGATTTTCAAGTCCCTCTATGTAATTTTTGTAGCGCATTCTGAACGAAAATTACATGGAACTTAAAAATTCCCTCTTCCATGCACACCGTAAGGATTTTTTTTGTTTGACAAGTTTACTGCTTCTATTGTACGTAAAAGTGATCTCTGCTTGGAATTGTTTTGTTTGAATAGATTATACAGACTATGGATACACAAAGTGGTTACAAAGTCCCCAACATGCTTACTTGAGAATATTTTTCCATACTTTTTGTACGACTGTTGTTATATTACCTAAACTGAATGGGTGTGATGTTCTATTTAGTATACACTGCATACTGTGTAAGATAACGGATCAAGTGTAACATTGTGAGTGTATAATAGACTTAGCAGGACTCTTACTATATACGAACATGCAAGTATCAGATTCCATTACATGTAATCTACAAGGCTTGAACTCCAAATTGAGTAGTCATTAAAAAAAAAAGTAATAGCTAATAATGCATCGTTGGCTCCCTTTCTTCAGGAAATTGTATTATGCTTGTTTGGGATCATGGATCAACAGTTCGCCCTTGTAAATGCCCGCTATGCCGTCGTCCCATCACTTTGTTGGTTCCAAGTAGGGCTTCTTCAAGGCAGCTTGATAGGCCAGAGGTTGCGGAGATTTTAGGCAAGATAGAAAGGTACAATCGTGTTTTTGGAGGTCATTCCAGAAGTCTTATTCAGGTAAATGAATCTGTGTCCATCAAATAACCTTGTGGGGCCTGGTCCATATTTTATATCAATAATCTGAACAGTCTATTTTTGAGTTCTTCATTCAAAGGTCATCTTCCCAAAATATGAGACAAATCCGACCGTTTAGCCATCTAATTCGAGTCAAGAAAATAGACAAACATGGTACATCCAGAAAACACGAAAGTGACGAACCTTCCACTTAGTAGTCAAACAGTTTCGGATTTCAGTGATATTTTGTTAGGATGATCTTTGAGGGAAGACTGAAAATTTAGACAGTTGAATTATTGAAATACAATGAGTAGTGAGAGCTACATGCACGCACACACACGCACACCCACACCCCCCCCCCCAACACACACCCACCCACACACTCACACACGCACCAGCGCATGCACAGATATGTTTTTTGTTGAAAAATATTTGCAGTTTCTGTACTTAACTGCATGAAAAGAATACATAGTTGATTGAGAATATTAGATTGTTATGTCCTGCATTTCTAATATTAGATCTTTATGTCCTGCATTTCTAATCTGTTTCTATAAATTTCAATAATCTTGTCAACAGAGAGGGCAGGACCTTCCTTTTCTCCTGCGGAGGCTGCTGCGAGAACTAATTAATCCTGATAGATCTCTTCCCCTTGTTATAAGGGCTCGTGTCTGGATTTCAGTTAAGTAATTGACACAAGTATGCTATCACTTCTCGTATATTTTGCTTTCTCATGCAGCTGTTAATGCAGTTTGTATGGTTGGAAATAACATTCTGCGAGAACTTATCTCATCTTTAATCTGAAGGATATTGTATACTGTATGTTCGTTAAGAAGTTCTGACCTTTTTGGAAATTTTGTATACAGATGATAATGGGTGCTGCGTACCTATTCAGCCCTTTTGACTTCATCCCGGAAGGTGCTTTTTATGCTTTCAAGCTGGTTGAATTTTCTTGTGGAGTTGTTCTAGTAAGTGGCACTATTAATACGTAATCTTTGTTTTGAGTGTTCTTGTAGCAATATTTGGTATAGCTGGTCTCCTGGACGATTTCTTCATAGTGCTCATCGTCTTCTTCCACGTTGCTGCCATTTATCGGTCTGTACTCTATCGCCGCCATGGAGGTTCCTGAACTGTGCCGCCATGGAAATTTTTAATCACACGGAAAAAACTGGGACGGAGCTGCATTTTACTTTTTGTTATTTGGGGTTGAAAACCTCATTGAAATATAGGATTGTACAAGGGAGCCACCTATATATTTCAGTGTAGTTTCAGTTGTATTTTTTAACTATTTCATGCCGAATTACTGTGATTTACACATGAAATCAGAACATGTACCTACTGATGTCTATAGCATAAGCTCCCAAGTGGTTCGCCGAGGGTCGAATACAAATCGAGATCCTCTGCGCATCTCCAAGTCTGGAGCTAGCTAGCCCAGAGATCTGTGCCATTCAAAGTAAGGGAGATCTAAACCCTTGGTTTGCATGAGGTGGGTCAGTTGGATGGGCTAATCGAGGGTTGTAGAATTCAAAATGAATGGTTTCGATTTTTAGGTCCGCCGAATTCAGACATAGAGATCCAAAGCGGGTCTCTTGAATATTTTGACGTTCACATGCTTTTTAGGGAATGTAGGGTCTAGGGTTTAGGGTAAGCATAACTCGCTGTATTCCAACTGGAAATTACTGTGACAATGACATTGCTTTATAGGTATAACTATTTGATCACATTACCTGATATGCCGACACGTTAAGACGAGTAATGATTCTACATTGGACACATACGTTAAGACGAGTAATGATTTTACGTTAGACGCACAAAACTGCAAGTGGTTTTTTAATACAATGATGAAAAAGTGTTGAATTCTTGCATAACGATATATTAGTTTAAATTTCATCGGTAATTAATTTAACAAAAAAACAAAAAAAGGCATAAAACTGATACACCGACGCATGAACGGGTAGAGATGCTCGTATGACAAGTCCTTATAAATGATTATCTCGCTGGACCATGTCGAACCAAGTAAGAATGTCGCATCTAAATTCCAAATTTGTGTCGGCACTCGCTTGTTCGAATTAAATTCAAATCTTATGTGGGTTGAATTTCAATTACTAAGCATATCTCATTTCCGTATAATAATCACCAAGTCACACTTTTATATATAATTAAGGACTCCTTTAGTAATTAATCGTTTTTAATTTACATTTTTGTACTTGAGATATATGGGAAATATATTTTAGAAAGTGGAGATGAAGAAATGCTCATAGAATTGGTGTACAAAAAAATAAAAAGTAAAAGTAAAACCAAATTATCTATTTTGTAGGACCAACTCTACATCGAAGTTCAACAATCACAATCGTCTATTTTGAAAGTCTCAATTCATAGATATCTTTGCAAAAATTCAATTCAATTTGAAACTATTTTTCTATTTAATTATCACAATGAAATTTCATTGTTTCTTATAGAACAAAGTATTCGTCAATTTATTTGAACTCAATTAGATATCTCAAATATTTCTAATTTGACTAATATTTTGCAAGAACAATCTAAGAGGTGCAACTTGAAAAATAGACGATTCAGATTGTTGAAGTTCAATGTGGTGTGGGCCTCACAACTTCTCACTTTGGTCGTTGAAATTAAAATCGATAGAAATGGTCATCATACATCGTGTGATCAATTTTTGTCAAGTGCTGTTTGTGTTTAATTTTAAATAAAAATATTTAAAATAATTTTTTATCGCAAAATATACGATAAATGGACACGATTCATGAATCTCTGTGATCCTCGCAAAGATGATCCGGCAAACATCCGGATTCCAATCATATCATGTAACAATAATTACTTTTTCGTGGTTTTGGAGGCCCTAGTTTCCAAATGTTGTTCATAAAGCATTTTTGTCTCTGCTCTCTCCATTATGGCCTCCCTCCCTCGCACCAGTCACGTAGATACACTATTACTCATCTCTCTATCTCTCTCTCTCTCTCTCTCTCTCTCGTCCTTGCTTATCTCTTCTGCCTTCTCCACCTTCCGCTGTCTGTGTCGCTTGTTTTTCTCGTTTTTATGTGCTTAATTTCCTGAGTTTTACAAATACATACACACACACATAAAATTATTTAGTGCCTAGGTTGATGAAGGATTACTGAGTGGTGAGTGGTGAACTTAGCAAGCAAGAAACATGTGGGTAGTAAGGAAGGGAGTGTCAGATATCATCTCTCCAGTCTCCATCCATATCCATGGACCATCACCATATGCATGCACAACACCTGTTCATATATCCCATCACCCAAATAAACAAACAAACACAAAGTAAAGTTGTATCATAGCATGCTCCTTCTGTTTGCCTTCTCTTCTGTATAATTTATTCCCCAAATTAATCCAGTTTGTTTGATACAATTCCCACCTGTTGTTAACTGGTCCTTCATCAGATGTGATGAGGCATTGGCTGCCGACACTTGATGCTACTTCCTCCGCCACATGATCTAGCACTCACTTGGATCTGATCGTCATCATCAGGTACTCTAATCTAATCGTCTCTTACCTCTCTCTAGGTTAACTCTAAATATTTTTTGCGATTCTGTTGGATTAATTCTTTCTTCATTTTTGTAGTTTCTCAATTTATGAATGCCTTCTGCTTGATTAATATTACTAGATAAGCTAAAACTACTTTTTTATTATTCAAAAAACAAAACAAAATTAATCCAAAGCCTAAATAATTTATTTTTATACTGGCAAGAAAATTTAGGAAATCCAAAATTAAGCTATTTTTCTGGCTCAAAACATCAAGTTTTTTTAACTTAATAACTTTAATTAATTAGTTGCTACTTGCAAAATATAACAGTATTGCTTTCTTTTAGTTTTAATAAATTAGTTAAGTCCTAAGTAAGTAATTCGATGAAATTAAAGCATTGGTTCTTGAATTTTGGCGCAATTGGAGCTTAGTTTCTAAACTAAAGATCAGTGAGTATTGATCTCGGTCTTGTCACAATGTGAAACAGTAACTCTTTTGTGTTATACAGTAAGAACATTCATCCAAAATAAATGGTTTAAAGAGGCAAATAAGGGGCGGAAATTCTAATGGAATTATCCAAAACGACCATTGCTCCGCTGTGTGACAAATGCATAGACAAATCTCAGGGACTCAAGTGAGGAGTTATGTTAATCTCAGGTCTATATTTTTGGTTAAAAAGTCTTGTTATTAGTAAGTGTTACACTTACCATCTATTTACCGTCATTTGTATCATCTCTCTAATAAGTGTAAGTTCGTCAAAACATGTAGGTTTCATTTCTATTAAAGATAAAGAGTTGGTACAAATGGTGATATAAATAAGGGAACTTTAACGAAAAACACCCGGTACTGTTCACTTTAACGAAAAACCACATTTTTACACTAAAAAGTCAATCATGGTACTATTCACTTTACCCTTTATTTTGTCCTTATCATTAAAACTCAAAGTTTTCAAGCCCTTTTCATTAGTTTTCCTTATAAATAAATGGTAAAGATAGCGTTTTTGTTAATATTATAAATTAAAAGAACAATGCAGTCAGGGACAATGACCTGTGGGCTTTTTCTGCACAGCTGTATCCTTACGCTTCTTCCGAACTGGTTCAAGTTCAAAGAATGGCATCGGCATGGGGTAGCGGTGGTGGTCGCCAAATTTAAAGCTCCGTCGTCTCTAATTGACCATTCTACCCCTACTACAACCTATTACTACATTCCAATGGCATTGTACTTGCTGCTGCCGACTGTGTTCCTCCTCTGTTTGCTTTTCCCGCCATGCATGCCTCTAACGGTCGGAACTGAAACGGAAGCTGAAGCCCTCCTTGAGTTGAAGAGGCAGCTCAAAGACCCCCTGAATGTTCTCGATTCCTGGAAAGAGACCGCAGATCGGTCGCCCTGCAACTTCTTCGGAGTCGCCTGCGATCGGATTAGCGGGAAAGTAATTGGAGTTGCTCTTGATAACAAGTCCCTCTCGGGTGAGATTTCGCCCGCCATTGGTGTTCTTGACAGTCTCGCCACACTTTCGCTGCCTTGCAACAACATTACAGGAAAGCTTCCTGCCCAAGTCACTCGTTGTGCCAATCTCAAAACTTTAAATCTCACCGGCAACAAAATGGTGGGAGCAATCCCGGATCTTTCTGCCCTCGGAAAATTGGAGATTCTTGATCTTTCTACAAACTCCTTCTCCGCGGCATTCCCATCATGGGTGGGGAATCTGACTGCGTTGAATTCCCTCGGGCTCGGGGAAAATGAATTTGATGAAGGTGAAATCCCTGAGGGGCTTGGAAACTTGACCAACTTGACTTGGCTCCATCTGGGGAATTCCCAGTTCAGAGGAGAGATTCCGGAATCTGTTTACAAAATGAAGGCACTGGAGACGTTGGATATGTCGAAGAACAAGCTCTCTGGGAAGCTCTCCAACTCGATTTCCCAGCTGCAAAAACTCAATAAGATTGAGCTTTTTCAAAACAATTTGACTGGGGAAATCCCACCAGGGCTCGCTAATCTCACCCTCCTAAGGGAATTTGATTTCTCATCAAACAAGTTTTATGGGAAGTTGCCTTCCGAGATGGGAAATCTCAAGAACTTGGTGGTTTTTCAGTTATTCAGGAACAATTTCTCCGGGGAATTCCCTGCTGGGTTCGGCGATATGAAACACCTTGTTGCAATCTCAATTTATGAAAACAGATTTTCCGGGGATTTTCCAACCAATTTTGGCAGATTCTCACCTTTGGAAAGCATTGACATATCCGAGAATCAGTTTTCAGGTGGTTTCCCAAGGTTTCTTTGTGAAAAGGGCAGGTTACAATTCTTGCTTGCTTTGGGCAACAATTTTTCTGGGGAGCTGCCAGACTCTTACGTTCGATGTAAATCTCTAGAGAGGCTGAGAGTCAATCAGAACCGTTTGTCTGGGAAGATTCCAGCTGAGTTTTGGTCACTTCCCTACGCAACAATGATTGATTTCAGTGATAACGACTTCAGCGGAGAGATATCCCCCAGCATTGGGTTTTCTACCAGCTTGAATCAGTTGATATTGAAGAACAATGGTTTCTCTGGTTATCTTCCGCAACTTGGGAACCTATCAAACTTGGAGAGGCTCTATCTGAGTGGTAATAAATTTTCCGGTGAAATACCTTCCGAAATTGGTGCTCTAAAGCAGCTGTCATCTTTGCATCTTGAACACAATTCTCTGACAGGATCGGTACCATCAGAATTGGGATACTGTGTTAAGTTGGTGGACGTGAATCTTGCTTCGAATTCTTTAACTGGTAATATCCCACGCACGTTATCACTAATAAGCTCTTTGAACTCTCTAAATCTCTCGCAAAATAGCCTCACGGGTTTGATTCCTGAAACTTTGGTGAAACTGAAGCTAAGTTCTATAGATTTGTCGGGGAATCAGTTATCCGGAAGAGTACCATCTGATCTTCTGACCATTGGAGGAGACAAAGCCTTTGATGGAAACAAGGGACTCTGCATTGATCAATATTCCAGAACACGTACAAATTCTGGGATGAACATGTGTACTGAAAAGCCGAATCAAAAAAAGGTGCTTGAAAATAAACTGGTTTTGTTCTCGATTATAGCATTGGCGTTGGTTGCTGTTTTTGCTGGATTACTGCTGGTTAGTCATAAGAACTTCAAGCTTGGGGAGGCAGTTGACAGAGAAAATAATTTGGAAGCAGGGAAGGAGAAAGATCTGAAATGGAAACTTGCGTCTTTCCACCAGTTGGAAATAGATGCAGATGATATATGCGATTTGAAAGAAGAAAATTTGATTGGAAGTGGCAGTACAGGGAAAGTTTACCGCATAGATTTGAAGAAAGGTCGTGGCACGGTAGCTGTCAAACAACTCTGGAAAGGAGATGGCATGAAGCTTTTGACTGCAGAGATGGACATTTTGGGGAAGATCAGGCATAGAAATATACTGAAGCTATACGCTTGTTCAGCGAATGGCGGATCTAGTGTTCTCGTGTTTGAGTACATGGCAAATGGTAATTTATTTCAAGCGCTTCACAGGGATATTAAAAGCGGGGAGCCCGAATTGGATTGGTGCCAGAGGTATACGATTGCTTTGGGAGCAGCTAGGGGCATTGCTTATCTGCATCATGATTGTTCACCAGCTATAATTCATAGAGATATTAAATCCACCAACATTCTGCTCGACGACGACTATGAGGCAAAAGTTGCTGATTTCGGAGTTGCAAAGATTGCAGAAAGCTCTCAGAAGGGTTGTGATTACAGCTCCCTCGCTGGCACACATGGCTATATTGCTCCTGGTGAGTTTCAAATCTACGAAACCACATACATTTATCCTTCCATTGTTATGATATATAATTATACTTCTTATCTTAAAGAATGTATCGGAAACTTGTTAGTCATTTCACATATGTTAGCGTTGGTTTCTTGCTTCAACTATGCGTTAAGCAATTGCTCGGTGACAACTTCTACAACTCTAGAATTTTGATCTGCTCACCAGATTTGATGCTGCTTTAATTTATATTTTTTTTGCCGGTTTAATTCACTTGGGATTGTATCCAAAATCTTCACAACCTGCATGTGCTCAAACTTTTTGAACTAATTTCCTGCAGAGCTGGCTTATACTGCTAAAGTGAACGAAAAGTGCGATGTGTATAGTTTCGGTGTGGTGCTGCTCGAGCTAGTAACTGGCAGGAGACCAGTTGAAGAGGATTACGGTGAAGGAAAGGATATTGTTTACTGGGTTTCAACGCATCTGAGTGACCGTGAAGCGGTTGTTAAGATTCTAGATGATAAAGTGGCACATGAATGTGTCGAGGACGACATGATCAAGGTCTTGAAGGTTGCTGTTCTCTGCACTACCAAGCTACCGTCCTTGCGCCCGACAATGCGGGATGTTATAAAGATGCTTACGGCTGCTGATCCTTGCACTTTCAGGTCCGGAAACAACACCTGTAACGACGAAAACGTCAAGGATTTCTCACCCAGTACTGATGAATTGTCTCTTTTAGCAGTAGCTAGCTAATTGCAAGGTTCAAAAGGTAGATACATAGTGTTAATTTCTTCGTTTTATAATGCTTGTCATGTAAGTAGAGAATTTAAAATCATATATATGCTTAGTAAATGTACCGTTATGTTTACGGGTAATGCTAATGAGATCAATTTTGTAAACTAAATTTTGTAAATCATTTGACGTGGTTGTTGATGATTGAATTATTACTTAAGTGTTGATTAACGTGTTTATTTCTTATTTGGTAACACATTATATAATTTACAAATTTGGTTTAAAAGTTGGTCTATCTAGCATTAGTGCCCTAAGTTTAATAGTGTTCTGCCTTGCATCACCAAAGATGATGGTGGTGGTGGTGTGTGTGTCGTCTTACCTTGTTGTTCAATAAAAAAAAGTTGAGATTTCAACATGAAATTAACTCGTAATATGGGGAGTAATTTGGTTTCATATAAGAACATGCAAGGTTCTTTATTCTTGGATGTAAGATTCATACTCTCAACACGTGGAACACCTATCAAACCTTAAACATGAAACACGTGTGACTATTAAGCTTCACAAGTAGACAGGTTTGCTCATGTGTGATGCCCAACGCTCACACGTAGTCCACGTCACATAATTTGTGTTATCCACGTGTAAGATCTAAAAATTTGTTACACGTGAGTGTGCTTGTTAAGAGTATGATTCCTGCATTGGAAGAAGAAGGACCTAAAAGCATCTCCAATAGACTTTTCAAATTTGATTATTTTATTGTTCTTTATTCATCATTATATTCATAAATTTTTGTCTTCTCCCTAGTCGCTGTGTAACACAATATTTGATTTTGTAAGAATAAAAAACTTAGGCTGAAGAGTGAGAAAGAGGTCTGTAAATTTGTAGAGAGAGAATAAGCTACTAAGTTTGACATTTACCTTCGAAGAGATTGCTGGAGCTTGATTTGTTGACGTGATTTACATATTTAGTTGAAAAACAAAATTATAGAGTTTGTTCGGATGTGATTATCTAGAAATACATTAATATATTTATATCAAAGTAGAAAAAATAAATTGATTGCAAACTCTTTACTTATGAGATTCAAATCTAGAACCAATAACTTATAAACGTAAAAATTTCACTCAACTGTAGTACTAAACGGCTCTCATATTTTATTACTTTCTTATTTGTAAATAAGATTAAGTTTTGACACTTAGTCGTCCTACCATTCTTAGCAGGATTAAAAGTCTTTCCTGCTTCTTCTACTAGCTCAGATTAAGTCCGCTTTCCTATTTTGAACAAGCTTAGCAAGCAAGACTATCCTTTGTTGAGTTAGACGTAATCGAGTCTCTCAGTCACACGCTCGAAGAGATTTTTCAGTGTGATGGAAACACGATCTGGTTTTTCCATCGCTCCCACTCTGGTCTCTCTCACTAGAATTAGTCTTTGGTCCTCAAAAACTCCCTCTCTCAAAACCGTGTGATGATTCTGGTCTTGGTCTTCTCACCCCTACTCGTCCACCTTCTACACGTTTAAACTGAAGTTGACACCACAAATTAACCAATCCCATGTCTTTAATTCTCCTTCTGCTCCTTCCTCTCCAATGAAATTTTCTGCATCCGCCCCCCAATTATTTGACTATCAAATATCTCTCTGCCGACTATGGCGGCTGCTTCTTATTCTTTAATCCTTCCCCTCATCACCTTCTCCTTGCTTACTTTCCTTCCTCACTCACTCTCCTCATCCACTGTGTCGATTTCCGAATCTTCTAATCAGACATTAATCTGTGCACTCATACATCCCCAAAACCAGAAATCCTTTCTCAATTGTACTGGTTTTAAGTTTCCTACAACTGCAAGTGGAAGCAATGGGGGCGGCGGCGGCGTTCAAATTCCTCTCGACAAGAATGCTTCTTCTTCCTTCACTGCTCTAGTTGCCGGAGATGGCTTCTTATGCGCCTTGAGGCCCCCACCATCTTCTTCCTCCTCCAATACTAATTCTACTTTGAGTTGCTGGAGGTTCTCTGCTAATGGCACGCACTTGTCCCACAAGCGCATCTACCGCGGTCCACCTTTCACGCAACTTGTTGCCGGAAATTCTCACGTTTGCGGACTTATTCAGAATGGGACGACTAGTACTAGTAGTCGCCTCCAATGTTGGCAATGGCATTGGTTTCGCAATAGCACGATCAGTAGGCACGAGTACGGATTTTCAAGCATTGCGGTGGGAGAGAAATTTGTATGCGGGGTATCACAAATCGGAAAGGTTACTTGCTTAGGAAGCAATTATATAGTGGTTGGGAAGGAGCCTAGAGCTAGTGGCAAGAATGTTTACAAAGCAGTGAGTGCTGGTTTCGGTCATGCGTGTGCCATCTCATCGGTCGATAACAGTTTGGATTGCTGGGGAGAAATGAAGGGTGAGAAACCTCAAGGGAGATTCACATCTCTGGCCTTGGGAGAAAACCGCAGTTGCGCTCTCCGGCCTAATGGAACAGTTGTTTGTTGGGGGGAAAATAATTTCAGCTTGCCTGAGACTCTGAAAGGTACTTACTTCACCGCAATTGAAGCAAAACGCAGCGTCTTCTGCGGAGTTTCATCATCCAACTTTTCCTTGTATTGTTGGGGCAACCCAATTTTCGATGTCTCAAACAATTTCATGGTATTCGGACGTGATGTGAAGCCGGGTCCATGTACAGGTTGTTGATTATTGACTCAAACATGTAGTCAAAGTCCAAATCTTTGGGCTACTTTTGTGGTCAAAATTGTTGGATGGCATGCTACATGTGGGAAACCAAAATTGGATGCACTTATGCCTAATTCTTTTTGACTTGATGTTAGGCCTTTGGCCATTGATGTCTTTGAGAAGCTTTTCTTTGGCTATAAAAGGAGAGCAAGGTGTAGCTCATAAGCATGGAGAAGTAGAGAAGAACAAGGAAGAGAGAAAAATAGCAAGAAGCCATTTGGCATAGAGAAGAATTTTCTCAAATTGTCTTGTTTTGTATTTTTGGTTTTCTCTTCCTATTGTAAGTGTGAGAGCTTGGGGTTATTTGGGTCTTTGGGAAATTGAGTGATAAACACTATTGTATGTTCTCATTGATTATAGTGGAATACTCCGTCGTCTCCAAACTGGATGTAGGCATTGCCGAACCAGTATAAATCTTGGTGTTCTTGTTGGTGTTGGTTTTATTCTGTTCTGTTTTACTATTCACTTACAGTCGTACGCCGCTTCCGCACAACAAGTGGTACCAGAGCCCAGTTCCGTGAATAGTGTTGGCGCTACAGTTCAATGAACAGTGAACTGCTACAATATCTGTGAACAGTATTGTACCTGTGAACAGTGCCGTATTTGTGAACAGTACCGAGTAGATGGCTGGAGATAAAGATGAATCTGTAAGGAAGGAGTCAGCATCGTCTTCGTCTTCATCCAATAGACATCCAACCACTACTACAAGGTTAGAGGTTGATAAATTCAATGGCTCTAATAATTTTGGTATGTGGCAATGTGAAGTTATGGATGTGTTGTATCAACAAGAGTTGGATATGGTTCTGGAAGATAAACCAGAAGATATTGATGACAAGCAGTGGACGCGAATTAATCTTCATGCTTGTGCTGCTATTCGATCGTTCCTTGATAAGGAGTTGAAATACCCGTATATGAAGGAAACTTCTGCTAAGGAGTTATGGACGAAATTGGAGGAGAAGTATATGACCAAGAGCGCAGAAAATCGTCTCTTCTTGAAGAAGCGACTCTTCCGATTTCAGTATCGTCCAGGTATCTCTATGCACGAACACCTCAATGATTATAAATAAAATACTTGCTGATTTAGCAAACCTTGATGTGAAAATTCCTGACGAGGACAAGGCACTATGTTTGTTAAATTCATTGCCTGATGATTATGATCATTTGACAACTACTCTGTTGTATGGAAAATCCGAGGTGAAACTTGATGAGGTGTCTGCGGCATTGGTGAATCATGAGTGTCGTAAGAAGGAATTGAAGACTCACAATTCACAAACCGAGGCATTTGTTGCAAGGGGTCGAACAGAGGAAAGAAAATCTGGGAAGCGGGGAAAATCTCGTTCAAAGTCACGAGGGAAGTTTCCTGCTAAAGATGAATGTGCTTTTTGTCGCCAAAAGGGTCATTGGAAGAAAGACTGCCCCAAATTGAAGAACAAAGAGAAGGAGAAAGCGGGTTCTGAAGCAAATATTGCAAAATCTGGAGATGATGATTTCGAGTTTGCTTTGGCTAGTTTCATATGCTGATGGTCACTCCAATGAGTGGATTTTGGATTCAGGTTGCACCTATCATATGTGTCCCATTCGGGAATGGTTTTCTAATTTCGAGGAGCTGGATGGTGGAGTTGTTTTGATGGGTAATAATAATGCCTGCAAAACACAAGGGATAGGCAAAATCTGTTTGAAGATGCATGATGGAACAGTCAGAGAATTAAGTGATGTTCGGTATGTACCGGATATGAAGAAAAATCTTATCTCACTGGGTGCATTGGAATCCAAGGGTCTCAAGATCACCATGGGAGGTGGAGTTCTTAAAGCTGTGTACGGGGCACTGGTGGTGATGAAAGGTACAAGACGAAATAACTTGTATTTCTTGCAGGGGAATACAGTTATTGGTGGAGCAGCTGTCACCGAAGCTGCTGACGCAGATAGCACAGACACCACGAGGTTATGGCATATGCGTCTTGGGCATGCTGGTGAAAAAAGCGTTGCAAGGATTGGTGAAGCAAGGCTTATTGAAAGGTGCAAAGGCATGCAAATTGGAATTCTGTGAGCATTGTGTGTTGGGTAAGCAAACTAGAGTAAAATTTGGCACTGCTATTCACCACACTAAGGGCATTCTTGATTATGTTCACACTGATGTTTGGGGACCTTCCAAGAATGCATCTTGGGGAGGTAGCCATTATTTTGTCTCCTTTGTTGATGACTTCTCTAGAAGAATATGGGTGTACACCATGAAGCGTAAAGATGAAGTCTTGAAGATATTCCTGAAGTGGAAAAAGATGATTGAAACGCAAAGCGGTCGAAAGATCAAGACTCTCAGATCAGACAATGGGGGTGAATATAAGTCTGATCCTTTCTTGAAAGTTTGTCAAGATGAGGGTATTGTGAGGCACTTCACGGTTAGGGAGACACCGCAACAGAATGGGGTGGCGGAGCGCATGAACCGTACTTTGCTTGAGAAAGTTCGGTGTATGTTGTCTAATGCTGGATTAGGCAAGGCGTTTTGGGCTGAGGCACTCACTTATGCAAGCCATCTCATTAATCGATTGCCAGCTGCTGCGAATGAGGGCAAAACGCCCATGGAGGTATGGTCTAGTAAACCTTGTACTGATTACAAGTTTTTACACATATTTGGTTGTTCTGCTTACTATCATGTCAGAGAAAGCAAGTTGGATCCAAGAGCAAAGAAAGCTCTATTTATGGGCTTTAGCATTGGCGTGAAGGGATACCGACTCTGGTGTCCAGATGAGAAGAAATTTGTTGTAAGCAGAGATGTGACTTTTGATGAGGCTGCTATGGTTAATCAGAACAAGCATGAAGGTGAAACTGAAGCGACCAAAACCATGAGGAGCTCAAAGCAGGTGGAGTTACTGAAGACTCCAGTTGTTCCAGTAAGGTCTGATGTTTCAAACACTAGTCCTACAGTTAATTCTGATGATGAGGACGAGGATGATGAAGAGGAGGCACCTACCCAAGAGCCTCCACAGCAACAAGACTATATTGCAACCAGAAGATCGAGAAGGGAAATCCGAAAGCCTGCTCGATTTACTGATATTGTGGCATATGCACTTCCCGTTATTGAAGATGATATTCCATCCGCCTACAAAGAAGCTGTCATGAGTTCAGAGTGCGAGTTGTGGAAGAAATCTATGGATGAGGAGATGAAATCTCTTCATAAAAATAAGACTTGGAAGCTGGTTCAGTTACCAAAGGGGAAGAAAGCAATTGGTTGTAAATGGGTGTATGCCAAAAAGATGGAATCTTTGGGAAAAGACAATGTAAGATTTCAAAGCCAGATTGGTAGCTAAAGGCTATGCTCAGAAAGAAGGCATTGACTACAATGAGGTATTTTCTCCTGTAGTAAAACATTCTTCTATTCGTATTTTGTTGGCTTTGGTTGTGCAGTTTGACCTTGAGTTAGCCCAACTTGATGTCAAGACTGCGTTCTTACATGGTGATTTGGAGGAAGAGATTTATATGTCTCAACCAGAAGGTTTTAAGGTTGCTGGGAAAAGCATTGTAAGTAGATATATGCATAATCCAGGAAAAGGACATTGGCAAGCTGTGAAATGGATTCTACGGTATATTCTGGGTACTGTGGATGTTGGTTTATTGTTCCAGCAGGATAAAGTTACTGGTAAATGTGTTGTTGGATATGTGGATTCTGATTACGCAGGTGATTTGGACAAGCGTAGGTCCACTACTGGTTTTGTATTCTCTATTGCTGGAGGTCCAGTAAGTTGGAGGTCGATTCTGCAATCTACAGTTGCTTTGTCGACTACTGAGGCAAAATACATGGCTGTAACAGAAGCTATGAAGGAAGCCATCTGGCTTCAAGGGTTGCTTGATGACTTAGGAGTTCAACAAGACCATGTGGATGTTCATTGTGACAGTCAGAGTGCTATTCATTTAGCAAAGAATCAAGTTCATCATGCACGTACGAAACACATTGACGTGAGGTTCCATTTTGTTCGTGAGATTATTGACGAGGGAGATATTCTTCTTCAGAAGATGGGGACCGCTGATAATCCTGCGGATATGTTAACGAAGCCAGTTTCGTTGCACAAGTTTAAGCACTGCTTAGACTTGATTGGCGTTTGTAAAATTTGTTGATTGCCCCATGGGGGATTGGGAGACGACTATTTGGAGTTCTACTTAGAGGGTTTGAGTCAAGGTGGAGATTGTTGATTATTGACTCAAACATGTAGTCAAAGTCCAAATCTTTGGGCTACTTTTGTGGTCAAAATTGTTGGATGGCATGCTACATGTGGGAAACCAAAATTGGATGCACTTATGCCTAATTCTTTTTGACTTGATGTTAGGCCTTTGGCCATTGATGTCTTTGAGAAGCTTTTCTTTGGCTATAAAAGGAGAGCAAGGTGTAGCTCATAAGCATGGAGAAGTAGAGAAGAACAAGGAAGAGAGAAAAATAGCAAGAAGCCATTTGGCATAGAGAAGAATTTTCTCAAATTGTCTTGTTTTGTATTTTTGGTTTTCTCTTCCTATTGTAAGTGTGAGAGCTTGGGGTTATTTGGGTCTTTGGGAAATTGAGTGATAACACTATTGTATGTTCTCATTGATTATAGTGGAATACTCCGTCGTCTCCAAACTGGATGTAGGCATTGCCGAACCAGTATAAATCTTGGTGTTCTTGTTGGTGTTGGTTTTATTCTGTTCTGTTTTACTATTCACTTACAGTCGTACGCCGCTTCCGCACAACACAGGTGAATGTCTATCATGCAGCAATCCGTTGCCAGTGCCCGTGCCCTTGCCATCGCTGCCACCAGAATCAGGAAGCAGTAAGTGGAGCAAAAAAATGATTGCTTTTCTTGTAGTGGGTTGTGTTGGGTTCTTAGCTTTGGTGGTGTCGGTATGTTTCTTTGACTTCAAGTATTGCAAAACTAGAGTTGGAGGATCCCGTGTTCATGACTCAGGCCCCTTGGATGAGCAGCCCCAGTTACAGGCCGAGCAAGGCGCAGCAGCAACGGCAGGGCCACCGGTGTTAGAGAAGCGGCTAAGCCATTTGGTGAGCATGGGCGCCAATGGGGCTTCCTTGGAGGAATTTCCACTGCAACTACTACTCGAAGCCACCTCCAATTTCTCTGAAGAACACAAAATCGGAACAGGCAGCTACGGCTCTGTCTACTACGCCACATTAGATGACGGTCGCCAAGTAGCCATCAAGCGTGCTGAGACGTCAGTCTCTTCATCACACGTTGGTAGCTGCACAAAGCGCCAGCAAGACCAGGACAATGCTTTTGTAAACGAGCTTGAGTCCCTTTCACGTCTCAACCACAAGAACTTGGTTCGATTACTTGGATTCTTCGAAGACGCAAAAGAGCGAATACTCGTGTATGAATACATGAACAATGGCTCCCTCCATGACCATCTCCACAAGCTCCCACATTCGACCTTGCTCTCATGGGCCAAGCGCATCAAAGTGGCTCTTGACGCAGCCCGAGGGATCGAGTACCTGCACGAGTACGCAGTCCCGCCAATCATACACCGCGACATCAAGTCATCCAACATACTACTGGATGACACATTGCTGGTCAAGGTATCCGATTTCGGCCTATCTTTAATGCGGCCGGAGGATGAAGAGTCGCACCTTTCGCTTGGTGCAGCTGGCACATTTGGGTACATCGACCCAGAGTACTACAGGCTTCAACACCTAACGACCAAGAGCGACGTCTATAGCTTCGGAGTGGTGTTGCTTGAATTGTTATCCGGTTACAACGCAATACACAGAAATGAGAACGGGATGCCAAGAAACATTGTCGATTTTGCCGTGCCGTACATTGTGAGCGACAAGATACACCGGATTTTGGATCCAAGAATTGCAGCTCCAACGCCGTTTGAAATAGAGGCAGTGGCATATGTTGGCTACTTGGCAGCGGACTGTGTAAGTTTACAAGGTTGTGACAGGCCATCCATGACTTACATTGTAAGTATCCTGGAAACAGCGTCGGCTTATTTTTTGGAAAACCCTTCTTGCTCTCCTTCCAGTTCCACGACTGAATCTACGTGACGATGTAATGGTGCGACGGCATCATCAATTGTTGTTGACCAAAAATCATTCATTTTCTTTTCCTTTTTCCAAATTTTATGCATATATTGGACTTTTATTTCCTTAATTTTTTGGCATTTGCTGGTTTAGCTTTGAATGTTATTTTTTTCTTCAAGAACAGAGTCAAATTGGAGGAAAAGTATACAAATACAACGTCTGCAGCTAATATATCTAGTATAAATTGATAAGAAATACCTAATAAATTAAGACTGAAAAGGAAGAAAAAGTATAATAAATACCTAACATAATGCTCACAAAAACAAATAGCGTGATGCTATCTACAAACCCATTTTTACCTCTCACACCCTTCTTGGCAATCGGATCAAATGAATTGAAGAATATCAAAAGATAGAAATTAACAAGGAATGTGTGGAAAATGAAAACGCGTATGTGGAAGACAAAAACGGGTGTGTGGATAACACCACCCAAACCAACAAAGCTATCAATCTCTTCAATCTTCATTACTTGAACAAAACAAAACCCTAAACCCTTCTTATCTTCGTATCTTTGAGTGATGCAACTAGGTTGTACAGAAGATATGTTTAATTAACGTGTACCAGAAGAAAAATGTGGTTGCAGATGGCCTTGCTAATTGGAGCTATAATTCGGATCTTGGGTATCAAGCGACCGTTGTATAGAAAAAACAAAGAACAATATTTCTCCATATTGCTCCAATTTTGATTCACAATATCCTTAAAAATAACTGTGGTCCAACAGATAATGAGTGTAATTTACTTATTTTCCTTTTTTTTGGGCTGACCTTTCCACAGGGCATGTAGAAGTTGTGTTTTCCTTCGCGGGAGATTGCAAGCATATCCCAACAACCAAATTGTGCACAAATTACTGACTTGGAACTAAACTTGTAAGGATAGAAGCACTACACCTTCTATGCTGCCAGAGATTCCCAAGTCGCCTTTCTTTTCTCAACAAGTCTCGTCAGCGCACTGTCGATTTCGGCAAACACATCCTCCTTGGTAACACTTCCATTAATCTGAAGCAAACAGAAGTACGCTCCAAGTTATATAACACAGTGAATGTCGATAATCCACAATCAAATTAATACAGTATTTTCATCATACATTATGCAATCTCGTCCAACGGTTGCCAGCAGAAGTTAAAATATAAAAGGCAAATTACACCAATAGCACCTGGATTTTAGGTCTTGTTACAGTTTTCCACCCGGAAAAAGAAAATTGAGTCACCCAACTCAGTTTAAATTTTATTGCAATGGGCAACCCACAACTAACTTTATTCTTCTTGTCTTCCAAAAAGTTGCATGTACTTCGCACATAACCCTTTCAACAGTGTTTGTACCAACGTATCAGAACTGAAAATACCCTTAAAAAAAGGCTGACCTGCGAATCATGCGCAACTTTTTGGAGGAAAAAATAGGAGGGAGGAGCACAGTGCAGCAAAATTCTAATTGAGGGGGCAAAACTCACTCAACTCTTTTCCAAGTGGAAAACCAAAACAACAGCTATAGTTCAGATTATATAAATACACACATTAGACAGGGAAGGGGAGAGAGGGAGGGAGGGAGGGAGGGAGGGAGGGGGAAGAGAGAGAGAGAGAGAGAGAGAGAGAGAGAGAGAGAGAGAGAGATTATATACATGCCTTAGTTGTTATGTCTTCATACAATGAAAGTACCGCCTCCACATTCTGATGATGAGTGTTTAATAGCAATTTTACCTTGTTGAAGTAAGATTATATAAATACAAACATTAGACAGGGAAGGGGAGAGAGGGAGAGAGGGAGGGAGGGAGGGAGGGAGGGAGGGAGGGAGGGGAAGAGAGAGAGAGAGAGAGAGAGAGAGAGAGAGAGAGAGAGAGATTATATACATGCCTTAGTTGTTATGTCTTCATACAATGAAAGTACCGCCTCCACATTCTGATGATGAGTGTTTAATCGCAATTTCACCTTGTTGAAGTAAGATTATATAAATACACACATTAGACAGGGAAGGGGAGAGAGAGAGAGAGAGAGAGAGAGAGAGATTATATACTTGCCTTAGTTGTTATGCCTTCATACAATGAAAGTACCGCCTCCACATTCTGATGATGAGTGTTTAATCGCAATTTCACCTTGTTGAAGTAAAATAAAAAAATAAATTTAGTCGCTAAGAGGCAATACTTGATTAGAAGCCTACATAGACTGTCAGAAAATTAAGAATAACTATTGAACAAGAGAAAAATGATAATCGATCACCTCGAAGTCAAAGTATTCTGAGTTGGAAGAATGATTTAAAATGTACCTTTTCTTCTGTATCGTCAAAACATTGGGTGAGCCTTGACGCTATCTCTTGGGTCTCTGGGGGAGAATACTTCAAATGGTATATCTTTCCAGTAATTGGATCTAACCTTCTTCCAACAACTCTCTCAACAAGAATATCTTCTGGGACCTGCAATGATTGTCATGGCTTATGAACTTACAAAAAATAAAATAAAAGAACTAAAATATGTAACAATGCTTCTTCAAGATAATATCCTATATATGTGCAATGTTCCTGAACAATAATGAAACAAACACCAACAGCAGCAATTACTTTTATAAGAACGAAAAGATCCGGCTTAAAGCCTAATTCCTTAAGAGCAATTGCTTGCGATGAGCTCCTAGGGTACTGTTTGGACCCGATTTTACATCATCGGCCCAAGTAATCAAGGCCGTTGAGTAAACATAGCTCCTGACTGTTGGATCAAGAAATAAAGGTCATTATTAAAAGATAATGATTTTTAAAGTTATGATTTTTATCATAATTATCTTTTAATAATGATTTATTATGAGATATATATCTTGAAGTATGACAGCACAACAGGCGTGTGAATATGTGGATGGGATTGGATTTAATTGACAGCCATCAAGATGCATGCATGGATGAGTTTAAATTATAGGAAACCTAGGTAGACTAGGGTGCTTTTTACTTGGTGATGGATGTGGCAGACTTGCCGTGGGAATGACTAATATATATATATATATATATATATATATATATATATTTAATTGGTTGCCGTACATTTTGGCAGTCTGCATGCCATGGGAAAGGTGCAATATATATATATATATATTTAATTGGTGGTTGTTTAGGTGAAGGTTATCCAAGTCACGTCAGGAATTTGGAATATGACTCTACTCGAGAGTCAGGCCGTGCCAAGCAAGTACATCAGCCTATAAATACAGAGGCAGTGCATCATTTAGGAGCCCCCTGCAAATCAATACAAAATTGCCCTGCGCAAATTCTCACAACTTGTGATTTTTCTTTTTCTTTTTCGCTGACACATCTTCCGTTGACATCAACAGCACTGTGGAAGCAACCGGTGATATCTTAAGTCGGCATAGATAGCTCTGTCACCGTAGAATCAGTCGGTCTCGCAGTATCTTCCGTTGGCATCAACAGCACTGCGGCGAGAACGATTGATTACCTATCCAAGTCTCGGTCGAGAAGGATTTCTGAATCCTTATTGGTCGAGGTCATCTCATCAGCCTTCTCGGCGAAGTGAGGTGTTACAAGTTATTACATTCGGCACGTTGAAAGCCGAATTTGATATTGAACTTCGTAAAAATAGTAGCCTTGTCTTCAGGTTCGAGAGCCCAAGAGGCCGAGACGTGTTCCTTCATCGGCCGCAATCGTAAGACGCAGAAGTCAGCCGCGCACCCAACGCAACATCAAAAAATTTACTCCTCGGCCGAGCTCGGCCGACGAGTTGGCACGCCCCGCAATCATCGAAGGACGTAGTTAGCTTATAGATTACTCGGCCTGCGCGCCACGTAGGCTTTGTAGTTTCTAGGGTCAACATGTACCCATCCAAAAGCCAACCTTTTTCTTGAGAATCTGGCTGCAATAGGCGGTCTTTCACCATCTACAGGATTAAAACCAAGAAATCATCACTAGCATGACGATATGTCAACACAAATAATTATATTTTCCCTACCATGACAACTATTTCATCTGGAACCAATTTTCCTTGTTCCATGTACTCCCTTGCACACCTTCCATTTTCACTCCCAGATGCAATTTCCGCTCCAAGTAAATCTCCAGCAGCGACATGCACTAAACCATACTGCAGATAGGAGGATGACTCGATTCAATCTGCTTTTCGTCATGAGAAAATCATGACATAAAGTGGTAGGTAGTAACATAAGTAAACAATGGCATAAATTCATTAAGATTTGAAAACTTCTCCGGACTCAAATTTTAGCGTCACAAAGGTACACACATTACACATACAATCATCCAAAATCAATCAATTGCTTTATGTGCATATCTATTATATCTTAGGCAAACAAAAACCCATGCTATCTATTAACAAAGAGAAAGAAAAGAATAGCTTGTGAAAACTGGAGAAAGAAAGAAGCTACAGAGAATGATGAACTCTTCAATATATGTTTTGGAAGATGAAAAGATCCACCCAAATGCCTTACACATTTCGTTTATGTAGAGAAAACTTACCATTACAAAAGTACAATACTACCCTTCTTATATTCTTTTATCTTTCTAACAACCCAATCCTACTTAACAACCTTACAACTGTCTAACCAACTATTTCAACTGTATAACCAACTAACCAACTACTATGGTTATTACTCCCCCCTCAAACTAAGCATGGAGCAACCGAGCTTAGTTTGCTGAACAATCGGTGACAATCCCAAACCAAGAAACTGGCAATGCTTCAAGAAAACAGGACTATGTAAGCCCTTGGTGAATACATCAGCAACCTGATCATCTGTTGGAATGTAATGAACACTGATGTCACCTTTTTGGACCTTTTCTCTAACAAAATGGTAATCTGTATCAAGGTGTTTTATTTTAGAATGAAACACCGGATTAGAACTTAAGGCAAGGGCTGACAGATTATCACAGTGAAGAGCAGGAGGATGAGGAAGAAACTGATGAATATCTTTGAACACAGATCGAATCCATGACACATCAGCTGCACAGTGTGCCAAAGCTTTGTACTCAGCTTCAGTAGAACTGCGGGATATTGTAGATTGCTTCTTGGATTGCCATGAAACAGGATTAGAGCCAATATAGACCACAAACCCGGAAAGTGATCGTCGAGTAGTAATGTCTGTAGCCCAATCAGAGTCTGAATAGGCATTGATGTGGAAATTGTCACTTTTAGTATAGCATAAACCATAGCTGATGGTTCCCTGAATATAACGGAGGATTCTTTTGACCAGATGAAAATGGGCATCAGTTGGTGCTGTCATAAATTGACACACCATATTCACTGAATAAGCAAGATCAGGCCTTGTGAAAGTCAAATACTGAAGGGCACCAACAATACTTCGATATTGACTTGGATCAGATAACAATGTACCTTCACCAGCAAGAATCTGTGTGTGTGGCTTGAAAGGAGTAGATGTGGGCTTACAAGAGTCCATGCCTGCCTTTTTCAACAAATCTGTGGCATACTTGGATTGGTTAATAAACAGAGACCCATCATCATTGTAATGAATATGCAAACCCAAGAAATAGCTTAAACGCCCCATATCTTTAAGATCAAACACTGCTGCCAAGTTGTTGATTATGCCTTGTACCTTTATGGAATTGGAACCAGTAAGGATGATATCATCCACATACAACAGCAACAAAATAATATCTTCATTATCAGTCTTGACAAATAGACTTGAATCAGAAAGAGAAGGTGTAAACCCAAGGGCTGGAAGATAGCTTGTAAACTTAGAATTCCAAGCCCTAGGAGCCTGTTTTAAACCATAGAGAGATTTCACTAATTTGCAAACATGAGTTGGATGTTCCTGATCAACAAAACCTTGGGGTTGTTGCATATAAACCTCTTCTTCTAATTCACCATGTAAAAAAGCATTTTTGACGTCCAATTGGCGCAAAGACCAACCAAACTGAGCAGCAAGTGCAAGTATAATCCTGATTGTAGTATGTCTAACAACAGGACTAAAAGTTTCAGAGTAGTCAAGACCATGTTCTTGTGTAAAGCCCTGGGCAACCAATCGGGCTTTGAATCTGGAAATAGACCCATCGGGATTCTTCTTGATCTTATAAACCCACTTACTACCAAATATCATTCGATGTGATGGAGGTGGAACTAAAATCCAAGTTCCCTGAGCTTTGAGAGCATCAAATTCCTCCTGCATAGCAATCTGCCATTCTTTCTTACTGGCAGCACCTTTGAAAGTTTTTGGTTCTTCATGATCGGAGACATGAGCCAGAAATGAGAAACCAGCATGACATGGATGTAAACATTGATTATCAGAACTACCATCCAGTAGTTGTAAGGAAGATAACTCAGGTAGGAAGGCTAGATAGTTAGAATAACTTTGTCTTGTGATTGCACCTGTTTGTAACCGAGTCTGCATCCCATGAGAACGTATCGGAACATTATCTGATGCACTAGATGAAGAGGAAGCATCAAAAGGTAGAACTACCTGTAACTGAGCAGGATCAATGACAGGAAGCAAGGGAAGTGTAACAGTGTGAGAGGAAAGAGTAAAGCCTGGTGTTAATGGTGATTCAATTGCCTGAGAATCCGAGACAACTGCAGTATCATTGTGGGAGATAGATGGAGACTGATGTCGATTTACATTTACCTCAGCTGAACTAGAATCTTGTGCAAGCACCTGAGACTCATGCATTGGACTATTGATATGCTCTCGGTGATATAAAGGAACTGGTATAATCACTGGTGTACATCTCTGTGATTCATGACTTTGTACCCCACCTGACTGAACTGCCTTAGGTAATCTCCCAGGAAAACATGATTCATCAAACACAACATGTCGAGATATAATACACTTCCGAGTTTGCATATTAAAACAGATAACTCCTTTATACCCCATAGAATAGCCCAAAAATATACACATAGCAGATCTGGCTTGCAATTTATTTGCTGCATATGGTCTTAACCAAGGAAACACAGCTGATCCGAAAATCTTGAGTGAGTATACATCAGGGATTTTCCTATATAGCAGTTGATAAGGCGAGGACAAAGAAAGAATCTTACATGGCATTCTGTTAATCAAGAAGACAGAGTGTGCACATGCAAAATACCAAAACTCAGAAGTTAAAACCAGCAGCATTGAGAAGTGTGATTGCAGTTTCAACTATATGGCGATGTTTCCTTTCTGCCACTCCATTCTGTTGTGGAGTGTATGGACAAGAAATGAATGAACTTATACCCTTGCTAGCTAGAAAATAAGTAAAAGCTTTACTAACATACTCTCCTCCACCATCTGTTTGCAAACCTTTTATGTGCACCCCAAACTGAGTAAGGACAAAATTATAAAATCTCACAAAGATTTGAAATACATCTGATTTATTACTCATCGGAAAAAATCCACACATATCTGGTATATTTCATCAATTAGAGTTACATAGTACCTATAACCTTCTAAGGACTTCACAGGAGAAGGACCCCAAACATCCGAGTGGATTTTTTCAAATGGAGAAGTACAAGCAACTGATCTAATTGGAAATGGAGTTCTAGACATTTTCCCCTGAATACAAGACACACAAACACTAGACTTACTATCTCTATCAGCCACAATATTCGACTTTTGTAACATACAATTCATGATTTCAGGAGTAGGATGCCCTAATCTCTGATGCCATGTATCACATTTGATAGCTTTACCCACATAAGCAACTGGACTACTTGTAATCGACTGTACTCCTTTCTGCCTTTGCACAACCGGAATCTGGAACAATTCTTCAGGCTTACTCTTTCCTTGATACACTATTTCCCTTGTCTTCTTGTTCTGCACAAAGAATTCAGATTCATCACATATAAACCAGCTCTTATTGTCAGCACAGAGTTGTTTCACAGATAAAAGACTTCGTGCAATATGTGGAACATGTAACACTTTGTTGAGAATAAGAGAGTGATTGTCAGTTGTAAAGTAGTTGACCCAATATTTTGGATTGATAGATCAGTACCATTACCAATGGTGATTTTGTCAGAACCCTCAAAAGGTGTGACATGATTCAAGGAATTAACATCAGCTGTCATATGATGAGATGCACCAGAATCAACAATCCAGGCATCTTGAGGAACAAATGGTGTGGTTTGTTGAGCCTGCATTGCAGACAATGATGAGGGTGGAAGCTGCCCTTGATATGAATAATTGCTTTGTTGATAACAATCAAGTGCTGAATGTCCTCTCTTGCCACAGATTTGGCATTCAACAACATAGTTTGAAGTAGAAGCATTGATGTTCCTCTGATAACAATTGGTTGCAGTATGTCCCCTTTTGTTACAAATTTGACATTCTATCACAGCATTTGTCCTTGTAGAAGTACTCCCAGACCAAGAATTATTACCATTTGGCCGTGAGTTGCTGGAACCATATCCTCGTCCCCTGAAAGTGTTATTATTCCTGTAATTATTGCCTCTGTATTGACCCCCATGTGATCCTCGAGGCCCAAATTGAGCTCCCACATTAAGCTGTGTAGCATGAGTATTTGGATCACTAGGATGACCAATAAAACCATATCCATACGACTCACCAGGATACATAAGAGATTGTGATGGTGGAAGATATCATGCTGGATACTGTGAAGGAACAGGATAAACAGGATATTGAAATGGTGGCAAAGGCAAAGACTGATGTACTGCAGTTTGGGGACCCTGAGAAGTAGAACCATATGGCACCGCAGTAATTGTTCCCGCAGTACTGGCAGGAATGTGATTATGAGCCTGAGAATTGGAAGATGAAGCGGAACTTGAACCAGTGCTTAAACTCGAACCTTGAACATATAACGCAGACAAATTCTGAGACAAAAGTATTAATCTCTCCTTCAATCTCCCTTTCTGCCCCCAATAGTTTGTGCTCGAAATTATTTTAAGGAAATAGATGACTCTCTGGCCAAAATGACTGTACGAATAGTCCCATATTCCTTTTGGCAACCCAGCAAGCCCAGCAATTATGACATCATTGTCAGATACAGATTCACCTGCAGCAGTGAGTTGATCCCTAATACCTTTCAACTTCAAGAGATACTTATCAATTGTATCAGACCCTTTTTGAATGGTATGTAACTCAGTTTTGAGATGGTTGACCCGAGACTTAGAA